TTTTCCACGCAGCAAATGGAATTTTCGGTTCGCCTGGGCAATCCAGGAACACAGCCGGGGGTTGCAAAGAGAGCAGAGCCATAACTTAATCACCACTACTCTCGTCGCCACTTGTTGTGTGGTGTTAGTTCGCAGGCATTACACACACATGCAGGTAGGAACAGAGGATTACCGGAGATGACTCCTTTCTTTATTTTTCTTTTTTCTTCTTCAAAACCACAACCAGAACAACATACTCACTAGCGCCCTCTAGCGCTTCTGGTAAATGCATCTACAGAACAAATGTAATAGTATGTGTGGACACAACAGGTCCCAACTCTCTTATTGGGCCAAGTGCAGCATCTTTGGCTAATGCTGTCAAATCGCTCCCTGAATATCCTGCAGTCACTTTTGCAAGACAGGACAGTTCGTTTTGGCTCAGTGGACTCCCGTGCGTTCCCAAAAGATTTTTCAGCAGCGTAAATCTTGTCTAAAGGTCACATATACTCTTTTTGCAAAGTGCCTTAATATTGCTTCATCGAGCTCCTGGGGCCTGTTAGTTGCTCCCATTACAAGTACCCTGTCATCCCTTCCTGACTGCAACCCGTCAAACTCAATGAGGAACTCAGTTTTTAAACGGCGAGAGGCGTCGTGCTCCCCCTCCCTCCTTTCACAGAGCAAGCCGTCCACTTCATCGATGAAGATTACTGAGGGCTGTAACTCTCTTGCAACTGCAAAGAGTGCTCATACGAGCTTCTCGCCTTCTCCCACATATTTGGAGGTCAAACTAGCAGCACTGATGTTGAAGAATGTTGCATTAGACTCTGCAGCAACTGCTTTGGCGAGCATGGTCTTCCCATTTCCTGGTGGGCCAAATAAAAGCAAGCCACGTGCAGGAGCTCTCAGACCAGTAAAGAGATCAGGTCTTAAGGCAGGAAGGATGACAATTTCTTGAAGTGCTTGCTTTGCCAGATCCTGCCCTGCGATGTCATCAAATGACACAGTCGCTCCACTGTATACAATTTCATTCATAATTAAGCTGGCCAGTTTACTGTCCACATTCTTTTTCATATCCCTCTTCGGGGGCTGTTTCACAGCTGCCGGTCTTCCATTCTGAGTTTTTCCCACCCGAGCGGTTTTCTTTGCATCAGTTATTCCTAATGGAGGTCTTACAGAAGTGGAGGGTCTGATGGTGGTGGAAACACCTGCGGGTTGACTTTTAGGAACTGACTTTGGCTGTGAAGGCGCATGATGTGATGTCCCTTGGGGGTCATTTCTCCTTTTAGAGGCTAGTGTCGTCTCTAAAAGGGTAAGCTTGTCTTTTGCCATGGTGAGTTTGGTGACCATTTTATCCTGAAGTCTCTTTGCTCGGTCATACTGCTCTCCAGCTTGCCCAGTGAGCTCTATTGCAATACCCCTTTCAAGCTCAGAAATCCCTTTCTTGTACCACTGCACAGCCTCCTTCTTCTCA